ACTCGTCTTTGTTTTTAATGTGTTACAGTAGTTTATATGTTATGTTAAAGACGCCAAAGAGGCGGATAACTTAGGTTAGATTTCTATTGTTCACGTATTCTATAAGTCTTGTTCTATGATGCATTCGTTCGCAAAAGCGGCACCGGTCGTATGGCAGCACACCCAACAAAAAGCACCTAAGCCGCTGTGTGTGGGAACTTCCGTGATGGAAGAAACCGCACACAAGTTGTATGAGGATGGCGTTTCCGAGATTAAGATGGCTATAGCGGCGGTCGGTCACCCTGCGAAAAACTTTATTTCTCAGCAGAGAGATCTCATAAAGAGGCACCTGCTTGGAAAAATCGACGAACTGCAGCCGGGGATGATAAGTCTCAAGTTTGCAGAACTTTGAAACCTATGATCACATATGCCGCCGTAATATGGTGGCATAGAACCAAAATCAGTACATATCGACAGTCCGTCTCTGAACAAATTTCAGAGGCTGGCGTGTCTGGGAATGACTGGACCAATGTCAACGACGCTGACAAAGCTATGGAGACACTCTTGGAACTGGAACCTTTGCATTTATCCATTGAAGCTGAGGCCCTAAGAAGGGCTTACCGTATGGGTGACGAGGTCCTCAGGAAAGAGACGAAATTGAGACACAGTGCGATCTTCAGAAAGCTGAAGACAGTCGAACCCATGGGATTAAAAGCTGATCGAATCAAAACTCTAAGCATTTCGGTACCTTTCAGAACATATGTTCAAAATGAGGGGCGAGCTGGTGGAGCGACTCCATTTGCTAAAACCAATGACTTCGTATTGTATACGGAAGGCACAAAAGCACCGTCGGGCACAGGCGCTGGTATAGTCGAAAGAGGAAGGTCCGGGGAAAGGATTACCTTAAACCTGGGTAAAATCATGACCGCTTTCCAAGTACTAGCTATAACAATTTGCGCCCGGAAAATGAGGGAAAGAGCTTACGCACGTAAGCATATTACCGTCGTAACCGGAGATGAAGCCACAATAAATGCACTCGTACACCAACCAGGTTACAATGTGTGTAAAAGAATTTACGGTTCTGGCTGTGAGCTCCAACAGAGTCAAATTTATTTGGGCAACAGGGAGAAATAGGAGCAAAGGAGACAAGTTTGCTGCGCAACTTGCTAAGGTAGGGGTGGAGCAACCGCTGACCAACCAAGAACCTGCATGCGGCATATCTCATGCCCAACTTAAGTCGGGAGTTGGAGGATTTGCGGAGGATCGGAAAGTACAGGGAGGAGATACCTCGACTCCTTACCGCAAGGCAGTTTGTGGGACCTCCAAAACCAGTGCGCAAAAGCAAACTGCTAGGTCTCAGCAGGCAAAAATAAGGAGGATAGTGGCCTTTTGAACAGGACACGCCCCCTGCAAAAACACCTCTTCAGGATAGGACTGAGCGATCAACTTACCTACAGGGGGTGCAAATTATAGGACGAATACACTACATATTTTGTATCACTGCACGTCATATGCAACAGATAGACGAAGACTCTGGGAAGGGGATGAAGTTCTACTAGATTAGGTCTGCGTACCCCGTCAACACTTTTCTGGAGTTCATTGAATACTTAGGAATAATAAGGTTGTAAAATACGAGGACACAATAGGACATAAATGACCGCGGTGCTAGGCTAAACACCACCTCGGCGGTGAGGAAAGGGTTTTAGTGGGTAAACAGCAAAGCTGAAGCCTTACAGAGTTCAGAGCGCCAGTTCATCAGCTCTGGGTGTACGTAAGAGAGCATTTCCAAAATCTCACCGAAAGAAAAAAAATGACATCATGAAGAGAAAAACCAAAAAGTATCTTTATGTTGATACGGTATGATGTAGGAAGGTTTTGCAATTCAATGTTTATATGTTAAATGGTTTGCCTTAGAAAAACATCTATAAAACACATGGTGGTGGCACATTTTTGTCCCAAAGTAATCAACTGGATAAAAAATATCAGTTCGAACCACTCCAAAATCAGTTCGACTCATCTGCACCATAAAACGCATTATTTACCTTTTTATCGAGTACAAACTGTGTCTGCCTGGTGTAGGTACCAGACTCTCCTCTGTTTTTAACTTTCTCATTTTTTAACTTATAAGTTGTGTTAATTATGGATACCGAAACAGTGGAAATTAATACAATGCAGCAAGTAATAGATGCAGATGTAGAAATAATCGTCGCAGAAAATTGAACCTGAACCAGCTGTTGCAGGAGAAACGCATATAAAATTAACAGGCAATAGAAAAACTAGTGATACGCGAACGCAAAAATTGTTTCCAAACAAATTTGCAAACGAAAAAATATTAAAGACAAATTAAGAGTAAAAACTCAAGAGAAATAGAAATAAATACTTGCTCTTGAAGAAAACATTAAAGAGCAGTAATAATCAGCAGCAAATATCGGCTCATCGATAAAAGAAGTACAACTGCAGCTAGTTCAAAAAGATGTAGAACCGAAAAATTTGGAAAGAGAGATGAAGAAAAAAGCTATGGAGTTTTCTAGACAAATTAATGAAAAAAATTATTATTGCAAGAAAAATATCTGGAAATTAAATTGAAAGACCATGCAGAAAAATATCAAATTTATTTACAAAACAATAACGTTAGTGTACTAAAATAATACCTATGTAATTGAAATTCAATTAGATTGATATTATTTCAATTAAATTTGAAAAATGTTTGAAATAAAGATGGAAATATGTAAAAATAAAGTTTATATTTAGCTTTTAGCAGATTTTGCTTAAATACAAAACATTTTTATTGTGCAATACACAGATGTATATAAAAATATATTACAGCCAACTCTAGCCAACCAAATTAAAACATTAATATGTTATTTGAAAAAGCGTATTACTGCTCTTCAAACTGAAGAACAACCTTCATTTTCCTTTTCAAAAATGTCATTCACTTCGGCATTGCAGTTTATTTCTTCAAAATTTTGAACATCATTTCTGCTAATCGCTATGTTGTGAAGCACTGGAGTATCTATTTATATGGGTAACGTTAGTTCTTCAATATCAGTTCTCAAACTTGTTGCAAGGCGAGAAAACCATCTCTTCCAGACACCAAACGTTCGTTCAACCGTATTTCTTGTTGCTATATGTGCAGGGTTATATGGAATTTCTGCTGGTCACATCGGATTTAAGAGGGGAGTCACTGTGACCTAGTAAATACGAATTTCTAAATATTCTTTGTTCCAATAGGGCAGAAATGAGTGGTGCATTAAACATTGTACTGTCATGAGTAGAACCAGGCTATCGTGCATCAATGTTTCGTATACATGATTTTGCATCACAAATGACCTATACATTAACAGAAATAGTTCAGCCTTGTTTCCTCCTGGCGATGGTATTGGTACGTCAGATCCATCAATGCAGCCCAATACATTTGGAAATCCTCTAATGACATAAAAATCTGATTGTGCTTGCCTTATTTTTTCATCAGAAGTGGGCATTTTCATGAAATCAGGTGCATATTGGGCTATGGCATAAATTGCTTGTTTCAAAACTCGACACACTGTAGACTTATGCACATGAAAGTCATTCCCTATGACTAT